AAATTTTCGATCGTATGGCAATCGATTCTAAATTATTGAAAATTAAATTTATTAAAATAAAAATTTTAATATTTGCAAAATTTTTATTTTAATTTTATTTATTACAAATAAATAAATAAATGTATTGAATTTTCAAACATTTAAGGCCGATTGTAATTAAAAAGAAGCCAGGGAAAGGAAGCTATACTGGCTTTTGAATAATTATCTGATCGCTATTACTTCGAATGGCTTACCGTTACCTTAAGGGTCAATTGCCGACCTCTTTCACCCTCAATTAAGGAATGACTTGACCCATTACCAACGGATCAAAGCGAAATGAAATTTGATTTTTTCAAAAGAATAAAAGATCGAATATTATTACGTTCACCAATTGCTTGCATTTATTTTTCGATGAGCATAGTTGTTTAGAAGAGTAAAGAAAATATATTTGATTGATATGAAAAAATCCTGTGTATATGAATATGTATATATATATAATAGCATCGCAAACGTAACATGTTTCGCTATCATAAACGTTCCCATAAGAAACATGCACATAAGATAACGTGTGCGATAGTTCAGAAGACGGCTAAAGCGTTACCTACTACAAACCTAAGCTAGCGAAATCCATAAGAAATAATCGCAAGCAAGATTCTACATCAAGTTCCGATGTTAAATGAGTGCACGCGCACCTAAATAGATCAATGCAATAAATTATGTTCTTCACATGTATCAGACACATACAGGAAGAAGGTATATTAGAGTGCGAAAACAATTTTTAGCGAGGAATGATACGCGACGGAGACCTTAATGAATTATCGACAGACCGGTTAACAGAACGGATTTTCCGTAGCTCGTTTGCGTGCAATCTGTTAATTATGACGAGTATAGCTTTCGTGAACAACGAACTTAATAATCACGTCATTTTTTATCGAGTGATATTCGAAAATCAGCAAAACTGGTTAAATTGTGCCTTCATAAATACCAAACAAATCATTGCGCCCCTATTTTTTCGCCAAATTTTGCGATTTTAACGTTTCAAAATGAAATATGGATATATATATACATCTATACATATTCCTAAACTGCCTGGAATTTCTAGTTCGAGTTGAGTTCTAGAAACATTTAAATGTAGTGTTTGTGTAATGATGGTTATCAGCCTATGAAAAGTTAGAAATTCAAAACATTCTTAGTTCGATTTTGAAAATTAAGTCGGAAAATAGGCGTTTACCTCCCTCTAAGGCACCTATAACACTCAGGAATATGAATCAATCTTGAAGTTATTAAATTACCGTAAAACATTTTCTAAAATTTGCGATAATCACCTATCGGTGTCAACGTGGACACGTCTAACATTAATGAAATCAATTATTCGCTTTACTTCACGATGATCGGAGATATATATGTGTCTGCATCTTTATTTAGTTTAAAAAACAAAAAAAAAACACAGAATGAGCAACAAATGAAGGAGAAAGTAGAGGAAGAGGAAAAGGCCTACAAAAAAGAAGACAAAACAAAAAAAAAAAAAGAAAGAGGAGACAAAATGAAAAGAGTAAAACAAGAGAAGCAGAAAGATAAAGCAATGGCAAAAGAGCAATGCGAAAAGGGAAAGAAAAATGAAAAGTAGAAGAAGAGAGAACTAAATAACAGGAGAGATCAACCTTACTTTTATGCCCAGAAGGAGGCTTCAGAGACCCGTCAAAGTATATAGATTCTTGATCAGTATCACATTCTGAATCGACTTACATATGTCAGTCTATTCGCCTGTTCGCATAAAAATTTGGCAGAAATATTGGCATCCACTAGTTGCTGCTGAAATTGAGACAAATTGGTTGCATAACACCCCGCGCATCACTATGTAAACTGGGAAAATCTGTGCGTTTCGAAAAGAAAACTATAGTTTTTTGCTAAAAATTCATAAACTACAGAAAACTACAGATAAACCTATAAAAATTTCAAGCTATATTCGGTAGGCCATTCCGTACGCCAGATTCTTTAGCACCAGCACAATATTAAATATATCGGTCACATCTACCCAATGTTGAAGGGTATAAAAATTTCGTAACTTTTTTAAAACCTTTATAACGCCCATAAACAAGCTTCAAAAACGCCATAAGGTATGTAGATTGCTGGTCAGAATACATCAAAACATGTTAGTTGTGCAGTGTCTGTGGCATATATTTCTCCGAGCAAATTTGCAAAGAAATTTGAAAGCCGTTGAAGGGCACGCCTATGTTACAACGAAAACCGAAAACGCCTTTGCTTTTCAGTTCCTCCGCTTATTACTCGTAAACTACAACGGACGCACAATATAAGTTTTCACTTTCATTCTACGGCAGGACAAAAGAATCAGCCACGCCCGCCCAAAATTATAGGGTATGAAAATTTAGATCCTTTGTTTTTCTTCTTTTTTTTTAACTTTTAGAATAACTGTGCTGGGTATAAAAGATTCGATCCTATTATAGTTTTCTTACTTTTGAAAATTGAAGGCAATTTCAGGAGCTTATGGTGTTTCTGATCCACTACTTGCTCTTTCATTCTCATTTTGTGTAAAGGCAACAATTCTGTTAACCGTTTCTTCATATTACGTCACGCCGCATCAAATCAAAAGCATATACACTACCGTGTTTTTAAGTGCATATAAACTATGCTATCCATATATGCGTATATGTGCACACACACACAAAAAAAACCAAAAAAAAACTCAAAAGTGAGGTAGCAAATGCAATTTGTTTTCGTTTCATCGCTTATATCAACGCGCATTGAAGAATTTTAAATTCCGTGTTTGTCGAATGCTTCAATAAATTTCACGGAAAATTTTCTATACAAATATGAAAAAAATTTTTCATAATTAAAGCTTAAACCTATATATTATATTATAGCAATAATTTATATATATTTAATATATATAAATTTTTATATATTTATATATTCGTATATACAAGTATTTAATAAATCATATTTTATGCAATTTTCTCAGTCATTCTTGAAATATAAGGCATGAGGCGCTTTACCTACCCATTTCACATGGCCCCCCGGTTCCCAGGATATACTCCAGACCTATGCACCTTGAGTTTCTAAGCTTTAATAAATGTTCACCTAATACATTAATGACTCGTCTCTAATCCTGACTTATGCAAATTAAAATGTTTTTGTGACTTTAAATGGACATGCAACGGATTTTCCTGCAAAAAGAGCCTTTATATAAAGTCCAGTAAGTCATCATCGCCCAGGCCCATTGTTACCTCCAAAATTCTATCAAAAAATAACTTTGCTAACTTTTAAGTTATTTTTCCCATAGCCGCTCGACGGCATAATAGTAAACGATAAAAGTTTGTTAAAACTAAATCTGGAAGAAATATTGAATTTGAACATTTGAACTTGTTTAGCTGATTGCAAAAGCATTTCCTTTATATAGATACGTGTTTCAGACTTCCAAACAATGAAAATGATTGAGAAAGCAATCAAATGTCTGTCAATGTAACAGCAGTACATGTGTTATGTTAAGAGAAACGCGTCCAAAATTTATTTGATGCGCATTGCCTTCAATTTTCGAAAAAATAAATTTAGTGACTTTTGTTATTAATTTTTCTTCTTTTGTTGCTTTTGCCAAAAAAAAAAAATGTTTTCTTCATACATATGTGCAATTCATGTAAAGCGTCTTTTTATTTATTTCTGTTTTCATTGAAACTTTTCAACACAAACAGTGAGTAGCAGCAATAAAACATAAACCCGAAAAAAAATCTCAAAAGCTTGAAAATTTTCACAAATCCAGGAAACTTAAGCATTTTTTTTTTTTTAATTAATACAATTTTCATACGAAATTAAAATGACAAACGATTTGTGGATCTCGTAGTAAATAAGGCCTAATTCCCGATTCGATTATTTTTACAAACGAATACAGTTTCAATTGACCAAAAAAAATGTGTGCAACATGTCAAAGTAAACTAATTGCTAATACGTTCATGTCCAACTGGTGAAAGCGGGAGAAAGAATATAAGAAAACTTGATAATTGCAGACATGAAGGAAAAGAAAACAACCAACAACCTTACATTTTGCACATGTTGTATATACCATATGCCTCGGTAATGTCACTGAAAATGCTTGTATGTTTGCTTATGCGTGCGTACCTGCAAAATGCTTTAGAAATGCCATTAAGAAAATGGAATTTTTATCATGTAACAAGAGCTGGTGAACATTAATCAAACTAGTACTTATCACCCTGGTATAGTGCACACAAAACACCTATACATGACATAAATACATATATATATATATATATATTGTATAGAGGATCCATAAAGAAACTGGACATGAGGAATAAGAAAAAGCAAGTGCTTACGCTGAATGCAAGCTATGTATCTATAACGTCTTTCAGTTAAGCGACAATAGTAGATTTCGTTTATGATTAAAGTTAAGGAATAAAAGAAAATTTCCACATTGCGATGAGGCTATACGATGCTATTGATCGTATAAATCTATCGGTGCACATTTCTACTAACACGCTCCTTTTAATTATGTTTATATCAGTATGTTAATATATATTAGAAACATTACTCAAGTAACTTTGAAAGGAATGAAGAAGAAAAGAGAAACCAAATAAGGTCATCTCTCCCCTATCAATATAATCGCGTATAAGATTGGATTGGAACACATTTCAGACTCTACAATACGCTTTTTAAGTATAAAAATTTCGAAAAAGTTCACTTAAAGCTTCTAACAAGACACAAATAATCAGGAATGCATGTTGTAAGGTGCTCTATAGATTTATATTGTATAGTTTAGAAAGCAATCATCACTTACGAGTTGCATGGAAGTAAGATTTTTAGCAAGTTTACCAAAAGTGGTGGATATTAAAGAGAGAGGGAAAGGGAGCTCTTCTTATTAGATCGTAAATGGTTTGACTTTCTTCATTTCGCTTATCTTAGTTTTGAATGCAGAATATGAAAATCCGCCAACAAACAAAAAGCACTAACAATATTTTTTTTTTCGGTTATTTATTATTTGTTTTTGAATGCAGGAATCTTTAATGGGCAACTCAATGGGAGCATTGCGTAGCAATAGCCCAGGACCAAAAGGGGAGCTAGGTGTTAAAGGTGAGATGGGTCGATCTGGCGAACGCGGTCAGCCGGGGCAAAAAGGCGAACGAGGTGATCCTGGTATGACTGGAGAAAAAGGTGACAGGGTAAGTAAACCGTTAAACATATACACATTCACGCAAATGCATTACCTATGAAATACAATAAGCAAAAGAAAATTTTGTGGCACTTTTCCCAATAGCTGCAATAGCGCCACTTTGACACTATTAACCGTATTAGGCCACCAGTATGACCCATCTAGAGAATTGACAAATCATAATAATACATAGCAGAAATTAATACAAATGCATTGCCACAATTGTTAAGGCAGCCGAAATGGGCCGCGTACGTGGTTTCGAGCCATTTGCATAAGATTGCATATGAAAAAGGCCTCGATATTTGCGAATCATATGAATTAATAGTGAAAAGGTTAAGGGTCTGAAAGCGCAATCAAGTGGTCCTTGGGAAGACCCGCAAAAGTGTGAAGAACGTCATGGTATCCGATTGACGTCTCATAAGGATATACTTTGTATTTTGTAAGATGTGAAGAGAGAATCATTAACCCTATGACCTGATCATTTTTGGGCAGACGCTTGATTCCGCCCTTCAGTGTCGACAAATGACTCGATTAAAGTGAGCATTTAAGCTGAAACGTCCAGACAATGCCAGACTACATACAGGTCGAATTTTGTTCCTTTCAACTAGAGCTATTCCACTTTCTACAGAACTCCCTTAAGCAGCAACACCATTCTAACAGTCGACAATAAACTTTTTTAACGTTTTTCTGGTTAACCGGCAAGGGCGCAGAATAATAATATATGAGGAGCTTAGTAAGTATTATAGGGAAATTTATTTTGGAAAACTGTTAAATGGTGGCAAGAAACCGGAACCATTCTCAAGCGACATCTTCAATTAAAAGAGCTCTGCGAGCTCTGCTAGGGGAGCATTGTCGTGCCAATTCGAGTTTGCAAGAAAAAAAGAAGCAAAGTATCAATTAGTAGCATGTAGATGCCTGCAACTAAAGGAATGTATACAGAGTTTTTCTTAAATCTTGATTTTTGTGGAACTGACGAATGTTTGAGTAAAACACTTTGCATTTTGACCAAAAAAAGACACAAATTTACACTGCTCCACACCACTTGGGTTAACGGGTAAATTAAGAGCAGCACTCATTATAAAACACCCAGAAGAACTTGAGTTAAACTTGCGATCGATTCTCAATCACTGTATGAATCGATCTAAGTTTGCCATTCTGCCTGTCCCTCTCTCGATCTGATGTTTATCTATGTACTTTCATTGTTCTACGTATAGGTCGCAAGTTTAATGATATGTGGGACACTGACGGCCCAAGAATGAATCCTACTAAAAATCATTTGGGTCGGGTCGGGTCACTTTGTTAACCGTCTCCCGTATAACTCCTTACTTTTGAAAAGTTATTAAGTGAAAAGTATAAGGCGTATTAAATAACTGTATTAAATGAAACGATCTTCGGTATTTAATATTGTTGTTTGCTTGTTTATTAATGGAAAATTTTTAATTTTAAATAAACTTATCGAACAACTACTGAGTATTTCCATAGAGAATGTTATTTTAAAGATACCATAAAAAAATATCAAAAGAAAAGCATAAAAGGTTATAGAATCGCTTGCTCGGATCTTTAGTTGCAGAATATTTTTTATCATTTTAGGCTTTTCGTGTTGCCGAATTAGCAGCCGAATCGAATTTATAATCAATAGCAAACCCTTCTGAGCTAAGTTTTTCATTTCGTGACAGAAACATAGTAATCTTTCGAATCGCTCCCAGCCTTGTTTAATTTCAAAGGTCGTCTTGGTGCAGCTACAATAACAATATTTTATAACGAACTTTTTTTAAACGAACATATGGAAAAGATTTATAGTGAAGTTTGAAATCATAGGAACAAATGTTAGGCTATAACTTGCCAGCTCATAGTGCGTAAATGGTTTCTTCCCGAAGAAGTGCGAAATTTCAAGGAGAGAATTTTTTGCAGTTAATGAGCTTTTTAAGGTTTTCAGTGGAAGTTTACCCCCCCAACCCCCTCACCTGACTTGCAAGGCATCCTATCCTAAAATTGAATTCAGCTTTTCCCATAGAAATCCCAACAATGATTTCATATGATCATTTCAACATTAAAAAATGGCGAAAGCCTATCGATCAAAACTTCCAATACTGCGCGACATTGGCTTAATAAAGTCTAGTTAAGATAGAAAAAAAAAAAAAAAAAAAATGCATATGAAATTTGATGCAAAAAATTAAGCTAAGAACTTTTGCCTTTACCTGATATACACATTATTCATGTGAAACGTATATAGCATATCTAAATGTCTCTGTGGATAGGAGCGTGTGTGCAAGGGAAATTTATTTCTGCTCTATTTATTATTAAATTGATTTGCAAATATATAATGGCTGACGAAATTTTTCGAATATAACCAAAATTAATTGACTTTACATTTACCCAAGTGCCATGAAATTTGCTAAAGGGTTTTTTTTCCTCTACGTACGTATTTACGAGATGGCATTTAATAAAATTAAGTTTACTTATATTACAGTATAAAAAGTGTGGTATAACTGCGATAAAATATGCGATTTACTGCCGTGCGCACAGCTTAACATTTTCGCAAGCTCCGTGTATGCCGCCTCCTTTGGATATTTTATTTCATGCTTCCCTCTCAGGACAATCTTTGTTAACTTTTAAGCTTATCTAGAACATTCTTTTTTTTTTATACTTTTATGCGGATGTTTAAATTAATAACCAAACCGTTTATGACATTTGTTATATTTACTATTGAACGTAACGTTCGCGCATTTACTAAAAACTATAACTTCTCGTTCGAGAGAACTATATAACTTTACGCAGATTTAAAAGCATCAAAGACTTTAACAATTAACACTCGCTTACAGTATAATGGCAACATAAATTATTGGCAATTAATTTCAGCGGTTAATGTGAGAAAACAAGGCAGTAAGTCATTCAATCATTTTCTCGCAGAATTTCATTCATCCTAATTTAACAGAAATATATGTTTATCTAACTGGGATTATATGTAGATATAAAATAGCAATGGAATTCTTTAGCTTTATGAAATAGTGGGGTTCATGAGAGTTGCACTCAAACATAATTTTTTTTTTTCTTAATTTGACTTTAAACGACAATTTATACGACACGCTTCCACATAAATTAGCAATCATTTCATCAATAATACAAATAATGTTGGTGTCAAGGTCATAGATCGTTTTTATTCTATGAGAGTGAACCAACTCAATAAAATAATTGTATCAGAGGAGTTGTTGCGTTAAGAGTAAATTTCGTCCGACAAAAATTAATCAATTAATATAAAAGTCGTTCTCCTCGGATGGTAACAGCATCGCAGTTTATAGACAACAGCAAATTATGTATTTTTGTTTTTTAACAACAAAGCTGCAATAACGATGAGAAATGTATTATACAAGTTTTAGTTAACGTCAAGTCATTTATGCAACGACACACTCAAGGTATAGGATGAATGCAAACATTTTGCCACAACGTTTGCAACAACAAATGACACGCCCAGCCAAAATTTTATAAGACATACATATGCTTGGTATCAAATTCGGAATCTATGCAGACATGTCCGTCGGTTCAGCCACTCATCCGAGTTATGTTTCTAGTAAACATTATCTCGATGGCAATACAAGTTTGGCAAAGCATTTGGAAAGTTGTTGCACACAGTTTACGTTACAATAAAACTTGAACTGAGAACAGCCCTCCTTGCTGGGTTCTTACCTCATCACTACAAGAAGCTACAAAAAATGCATAATAAACCGAGTGTTCGAGTGTACTTAACAGAATGGCAAAATATATGCCACGTCCACGCAAGCGAGTAGCGACATCACTTTTCTCTTCTTCTTTGTTTTCATACGATATTCATGCCAAGAAGTACCGGAAATTAAAATGAAGAATACGCAGTAATTTAATAAGTCAAATGCGGTTTATTTTCACCATTAATTAATTCACTATTTGTCAAGTTTCGCGATGTAAAATCTATGCATAATTTGTCCAATTTTCGAGGCAAGTCCCGACACTGATATTGTCTTTAATGAAAGATTTCAGACTCAACTGCTAAAGTTCTATAGACTACAATCGTTACAATTTTGAAGTCACAGCTTAGCAAATTGATAAAGACAGTTTACAGTTGTTGTAGCATCATGCCTGGCATTAATCGAGACGACGAGAGTGATAAGAAAGAAATTAAAATGCAAACTAATACATTGAGTCGATCGATAAGTGATTGTTATATTGTGAGCAAAATTATTTAAAACAGTTTAGAAGAATCTCAACGGTTTACCCTCTCTCTTGCTCTCTTGCTCTCTTTATCTATCTATCTATCTATCTCTCACACTCTCTCTTTTTTTTCTCTGTTTGTCACTCTCTCTTTGTCTCTCTCTCTCTCTCTCTCTCTGTCTATTTTTGTATCTATTTCCCTTCCTTCCCCTTCACGAGACCTTTTGATATTGATTTACATATAAACACAAAAAACTACTTATCGTCTAAAAAGGGACTTTACGTTCACTTGACAATTTAAAAATGAGAATGTTTGCCGGTTGATTGCTCATCGTGATTTATTTAATTAAATCCTTTCACATACTTTCTGGTCAAATTTTATTGCTGTTCTAATACCAATTGCTAACTAACTAAGGAATGTATTAAAATAAAATTTGGTTTGCCTTTTCTTTACTCTCTCTCTCTCTCTCTCGCTCTCTAAGTAGATCTTGAAAATATTTTTTGTCCTACATTAAATAAATGTTTTCTTTCAAGGACTCCCCATAAATATCAAATAGATTTCTTTCTTTCTTCTTGCTAAGTATAAAACAAAAACATTGAAGAAAACATTAACACCATCTATGTACTACTTACGAATATAATATTTATAACGAAAGCAATGCATAGGTGCGAATGTTTATAGATACATTAAGAACATTCTTAAAAATGTATTTAATGTTTTCTTTATGCATATGAACTTGTATATATATATATATGCATATATATATATGCATACAATGTCACTAATACTTAACGGCGGTTGTATATGTTTTTAAGTATATACTAAAG